AGAGAGAGAGAGAGAGAGAGAGAGAGAGAGAGAGAGAGAGAGAGAGACGTCGTAGAGGTGGTCATGCTCTCGACACTTTTGAGGTGGTGAACGGGAAGGGAGCATGACCACCTTTACTCTCAATGACACACGCACATATACTCACAGACTTGAAAGTGGTCCTCAAATTTGGTTTGTTGCCTATGATTTGTACATTTTTTACAAACGAGTAAGGGTAATCGCCATTCTAATTATGTACTTATTATTTACTTATTGTTTATCTGTTGGAATTTGTGTTTGCACAATCATGGGAGGACGCGAAAAACGGCATGCGAAGGAGGACGACGAGGACAACAATCGCATTAGTCACAACATTTACACGCTACATGCGTGGCTGATGTGCCATGAAAACAATTGACGTGGTGCATAACAATTTTTTTATTTTTTTTTTGCGCTAAGGATACGAAGATGTATCAATCAATCGATACATATGTGGATGGTTTTATGGGTCTGACCACATCTCTCGACCTGACCTCACGGCATATCTCAAATTGGTTGATGAAGAGCACAACCCCGACAACACTTCGCACCTAAGGATCAAGGGAATTGACGACCATCGGAGGAGAGATCGCTTACGATATCGTCTAACATTTTTTAGCGCAACAGTGTTGTTTTATCTATGCGGAACCGTAATCGTTTTGAGAGAGAGCGAGAGGAGATTATGAGAAAAGTGATAGATAATTTATCATGGAGAGTAATAGCCAAAGACCCATTGGGTGGAATGAAGTTGAAAAACGTCGTGCAGACGTTTTGCGTAGAGATTATAACGAAGTGGGTCGAAATAGTTGCACCCTTTTATAACTCCATTCGCTCATTATGATGTTAGATTGTCACATCAGCAACAAAAGTGGGTATGCACGCACGACAGCAGTAAGCAAGGAAATGCAAAGAATAGAAAGAGCCATCGTGACAACGCGCAACAATGACATCGAAAAAATGACTATCAACGTTATCTCTCTCGATGAATATACGAGAACGTCAATTTTCTTCAAGAAAAACGACAAATAATATGGTCAATCAGAGGAAGAATGATCATAGATTTGTTTATATTTTTTATGACAGTAAGGAAGTGATTGTCGAGGAGAGGCCATAGGACCTGAGTGATAGTAGTGCTTTGTAGATTTCGTCCAATACTTTAACTTGGTCTAGCACTAGATAAATGTTGAGAGATCGTCAAAGTTCAATATGATATCGTACGCTATTGGGGGAGAAAGAGAGAGAGAGGGATGTAAAAAAAGGCGGGAGACAAACAAATGAGACATGTTCAATATGACGTGTGTTTTGTGGATTCACATCATTTTGCAGAACATATGTACTACAAGTGTGTTATGTATTGGTATGTCAGTTGGGGTACATGAAAACCTTTGACAATTATAATGAAAATTCTTCATCGTTTTATAGTGCTTTTTTTTTACGTTAGGAGCACAAAAATCATTGGTGGCAATGTTAAAGTGCCTAATTGTGGACTGAATATCATTGTTCCAATGAAAAGTGTGAAACTATGGTGGATGACTAAACTGCCGAAAGAAAGTATTGGATATCATGCTTTTTGAAAAGTTGAGAGTTTGTACGGTAAAAAACAATATTATCATATTTACAACTGCCAATCCCTCATATGACACAACGACAAGCCATGACAAAGAAATATGGTCAAATGCACATACATACATACACACATACACACATACACATACACATGAAAAGAGAGAGAGAGAGAGAGAGCAGTAAGGTTAAATACCGATATGAATAACATTGCGTTGGTCAAGTTGATTGGGAGGCTCGCTCCGGTGTCACCAACGTTTCTTCTGTTGAAGAAAGGTTTCACACATGTGTGTTTATCGGTCAAAGTTGGAAATCGGTGTGTGTTAGAAAACTGTTGTTACTTGATATGTTGAACTATTTTTTACCACAACGATGTTGAAAAACATAAATGTAGAATATGGGATTTTTTTCCGTTGGTACTTGATGCCGCTGGAGTCGTCCGCTTGCTGAGCCGTTATTGCTGATACTTGCGTCGTGGAGGTACCACAGGATGGGTACGAACTGCAAGCCTGACACTGCGTCGTGGCAGTGCCCCGGTGTCCTATTCCATCGACATCAGCTCTGGCTGATGTGGTACTTGAGACATCCCGGTGGTCACAGATTACGGGGAGGGTAGGGAGAGTGGGAACAGGGGTAGAACAATCAAACACTTCACATACAGTTTATGTCCCACTGATGGACTGTAGACACCTAATCAAACAGAAAAAATAAATTTTTCGTAAACAATTCAAAAATTCGGATAAAAAAATAATAATAAAACTATTTAATCAATAAAGTTTAATTAATGATTTATAATGAAATAATAATTCCCAATGATAATCAATAAACAATATTTGCAATAATGATGATAATCAATAAAACAATATTTGCAATAATGATAATTAACAGAATTTGAATTGTACCAAGATTAGGTATCCGTTGAGATCATCTTTAGTCCGGGAGTTCACTGTTAATTAGTGAACTACCCGGAAGTTGCAATTTGAGGGTCAGATTCGGATTCGTTTGCCAAAAAAAAAATTCGGAAAAATTCGAAAAAAACACTCGAATTTTCAAAAAAGTGAAATTTTGGGAATTTTCACCGGCAAAATCCGATTTTTTAAGGCCTAAATCCGTTTTCGGAATTTCTCAAACAAGGGAATCCAACCCTAATTTTCCGCGATTTCGCGGAATTTCCGGATTTACAGTTCCAAAACGTTCAAATTTTTCGAGTTGATCGAAAACAAAAATTTTCGTAACCCTAATTTTCCATACTGCAATAAAACGGAAATGCCGATTTAGAAAACGGTATACAGGATTAAAATCAGAATGCTGGATTATAAAAACGGAAACCGAAATGAAAATCAAAATGCCGAATTAACAGAGTACTGATTTCAACCTAATTACGAATCAATAATCAGAAATCCGAATTAAACAGAATGTCGGATTAGTATCAATTTATCGGAACTCAAATTAAACAGCATACCGGAGTAAAACAGAAATCCGAATTACAATTTCGAATCCCGAATTGAAACGGAAATGCCGAAAAAACAGAATACCGAAAAAGAAAAAAAAATTGCAACTTTGAAACTCGATAGTAATACAAAGCTGATTTGAAAGATCGAAGAAGCAATCTAATTCCTAATCAGACTTACCTGGTGAGCAGATCCGTAATATGGTCTGCTCCGATACCAAAACTGTTACATACTCGTGATTGTGTCAACGAGTATGGGGCAGAACCAAAAATCAACCAATATAGGATGAGCATGTATGCAACGGAAGTCTGATAAACGGACTGACTCACATAGACTGACTCACACAGATATCACTCCACACACATACAATCGTGAGATGGTGGGGTCTGAGCCAAACATGGAAGATGCTCAGGCCCCGTACACACATACACAGATGAAAGGTGGAAGGAGAGACGAAGGAGGTGGGGGGAGGTAGACAACACCGAAGGTCACCGAGATAAAATCCGATAGGTCACCGATATGGTAGTCTAAAATGTCATCAAACAAGATCAAAATGTCGAGGACAATAAGTCATCAATGTCGGAGATACAAAGTCCAAATGTAACCGGTGTCCGAAGTGTGATGCCGCCGAGTATCTACCCCAACAATCTCCAAGTCTCGAATCCGGTAAGTACCACAACCTCATACCACCGAAGTCCAACACTGATCTCTGTCCAACTAGTATGAAGTCTCAAATCTGAAGAAGAAGAAGAAGTCTGAAGAAGAAGAAGAAGAAGTGTGAAGAAGAAGAAGAAGTATGAAGAAGAAGAAGAAGAAGAAGTCCGAAGAAGAAGAAGAAGAAGAAGTCTGAAGAAGAAGAAGAAGAAGAAGAAGAAAAGAGTCAAGGAGGAGAGAGAGAGAGAGGGGACTGGCGATGGGAGGGAGGAGAGAACCTCCGGCTTCCGATACCTCAGGCGGCTATGGCCGCCGATCTTGCTCAGTCGCCGCTGCTGCTGCTCTGCTCGTTGCCGCTGCTGCTCCTCGTGCTCTTGCGCTAAGTATAGCGCTAGCGCTCTGGCGCTAACCATAACGCACCGCTAAAGTGTCGGTGGTTCGATACCCTCGAAGTGAGGCCAGACCGGTGTTTAGTATCGGTGGGGCAGAGGCCGGCCTCAATGCTGCGAGGCCTGGCCGTGCCCTGAACCGTCGAGATTGACGGTTCAGCCCCAACCAGCGGGCGGCAGCCTCAAGAGCGCTGCCAGGCCCAAACGGTAATGTCGTTTGGGCCTGCCCGTCGGGTCTGGTCCAAGTCGTGGCCTTTCGGCCTGATAATCCCCCAAGGTCGGGCCTTTAGGCCCTAATATGTCCCTCTAGCCCTAAGTCGGGTCCGGTAGGACCCATGTGGCATCGAAGGTGTAACATTGGTGTTGTCACGGCGGCACGACTTGAGAGGAATCGTTGCCGTTTTGATGATCTGGATGCACGGGAAGCGCACATGATGCCTCGACGCCATCTCCGAGTACATCTGCTCAACTACTCCATTCAGAGTCGTGTCTCTGTAGTCCTTGTACATATTATGGTACCCCGTCCTGCTTTGGTAGCGAAGCCACAAGCCATAGTTCTTGATTGTCGTCGCCGACTTCTCAAAATCTCGTTGGTGGCAAGAATCTGGCCATGGGCTTTCTTCACTTTCTTCAGCCTTCGCAAGAAATACCAACATTTACTTTTGCCTAGCACTTCATCCTTCGACTACAGCTTCATCTGGTAAATCTTCGGACTCTCATCCCCCGGCTTCGGTAAAGCACGACACGGCCGACGACATGATATTGATGAAACCTGAACTCCGCCATGGCTACTGTGCGCGAAAGAGGCTTATGTTTTTTTTTTTTTGGCCATGTCAGAACAAAATAGTTGGGAAAAGGTATTGATAATTCGATGGTTTAAAACACCACCGCCCCCAGCTCATTCATCGGACCACAATGGCTGGCCGCGCCAGCCAAAAAAAAAAGAAAAGTGTGTTGCTGGCGGTTCAGAGAAGTTTGGCGCGCAGACTTTAAAACATCAGGTTTTTTTTTGTTTTTTGTTTTTTTTAAGTCAATTATTTTGGGGGGCGGGGGTGGGGGGACGGATCTGGACACTCTGGACTGGATACCAGACTTGGACATCCAGACCCGGACCGTCTGCACTGCGGTTCGGACACTGGATCGAAACCATGATAAAACTAGAACGTTAGGGCAAGGGCAGATAATTGGAGAAGATGTTGATGTGGCAGGGGAGGGAACTCGCACCATTTAATGGGAATGCCTATGACACGCGAGCTTACGTGCATGAACGGGTTCCTGAGCCCCTTACTTTTCTGGGGGGGATGCTTCTTCGACGCCCGTGCTTGAACTAATCCAGTTCCAGTTTCTCTACCCGGTCCAGATCGCATTCCCACCAAGTGATCATGTCGGGGTTCAGGTTGTTTCAATGGACCTAAGTCTTGCCTCTCGCGACACCTTCTTGTTTTTTATGATCCCGTTGGGCACAAATTTTTAAAGCATGAATGCTAGCGAAGGTTGTCCAGTCGGGTGAACATCTTTACTGGGTGATGACGTGTCTTTGGTTCTTTTCAAAACGAATGTATGGACGCATGAATGATGGTCGAATTGATGGTTTTTGTTTCTTTCTTATCTTTATTTAGCCAGGATCTTTTACAAAGGACACCCTCCGCCCCTTTCGTCAACGGGGTTGGTGACTCTCCTGTTACAATATTCCACTTGCAGGAATAATCGTAACAAGCAGATTAATTGCGCTCCCGCGGATTAAGGACATGAAGCACTCCAGTCGCCTAACGTCTTTTTGCCTTCCTCCCTTCTTCTTTTTTGAAAAAGCGTCTCCTCACAACATTAGAAGTATGTCATGTCTGCGAGCGTGGGAGGGTATCGAAGGGGTTGTGGAATGGGCACACCCTTGCTCAACTCGTGAAGATATTACGCAGGTCTCTTCCAGATAAAATAGGAAATTCACAGTCCCTTAATGATGTCAGATTGCTCACAAGTGAGTCAAGAAAGTGGGCCACAGACCTGCACACCTCCTATACCGCCCAGATCAAGGGTGGGCAAGACCGCTTCACCAAATCAAGGCGAGGAAAAGGACTCGACCTCTGAAAGACCTGACCCTTGTGTGGTGTGCGCACAAGTTTGCGTACGCAATGAATGCAGCGAGCGGTCGGGCCCTAGAGAGCGCAGCTCGGGAAAGTTCTCAAGCTATTGTTGCTGGCCAGGCGCCTATGACTTATACTGTCGCAGGTCAAGGCAGTGGGAGTGGAAGGGCCAGTGAGGCCGTACCTCAGCCCGGGTGAGTGTCACATTGAACCTGGAACGATGAACCGAAAAGATTGTAGATGCTTGGTTGGAGTGTTGCTCATCGTAGATTATCGAAGTACTGAATATCGTGATGCTTGTAGTCCGTGGATTTAGAGAATCTTATGGTTGAAAAAGTGGTCCTTAGGAACGACGTCCCGGTAACAATTCCCAACCGTAGTCCTATTGGTATGATTGATGTAGACCGAGGATTTGTTTTTTTGTTGAATCTGTTTGTCCGCTTAACGTCCAACCGAATACACAATGGCTGGCATAATGCTACAGAGGTCTCTTCCAGATAAAATAGGAAATTCACAGTCGCTTGATGATCTCAGATCGCTCAGAAGTGAGTCAAGAAAGTGGGTCGCAGGCCCGCACACCTCCTGTACCACCCAACTCCCTCCATCGTCCCTACAAGACGATGATGGTGGAACGAACGATTGAGCGATGGCGGCTGGAGACAGAAGCGTGGCACTCCAGAGTTTGAATGTGGATATGAGGTTGGTCTTGAGTGGAGCAGCGCCTTGGTCGGCGAGTATGGGGCTGGCCAATGACGGGGAGGTGGAATGAAGAAGTTTTTTTTGGCTTTGAATGAATGATTGGAGCGCAATAATGTTGGGAGGGACTGCATAACCTGTATTAACTTGGATGTGTTGTCGTTCGTCAGCAGCCAGTGGCTTGTTGAGATATATGGGTCGATGTCGAACTTCTGATGCTGAAGACTTGCCGCTTGTTTCGCCGTCCACCGTAGATATTGTTATCAATTGCTTGAGTGTCTGCTTTCGGTTGCTCAGGAGAGATGGCGAACACAATCCTTGCCAGAAAAGCAGGGTACGGGTTTTCCGAAAGGCTTCTCGGGAGTACTCCTTGCAGAGGGGTGTGGTTAAAAAATCCGCGCGTCCGTTGAGATGGTCAAAGTTGAAGAGGGTGGTGGAGTATATTTGAGAAAAGGTGAAGGTGTTGAAGGTTATCCGGAGGCTCAAGCTTATCGCAGTGGTGGTGGGGGGTCGTATCTATGGGAGAGTTGACAGCGTTGTGGTGAGAGGTTGAGACTTCAATATAAGGAGATTGATTTTGATCAGAAGGTTGTGAGGCCAGGGTATACTAAAACTGATCGTCGTGGTGGACGATTCATGATAAGATTACGGGATTCACATGATGGGGATGAGACCTTCTTGGGTTGGCTTCCTGAGTTGCTACGGAGTTATGATCGGTTGGGGCAAGATGTAAGAAGGGGATATTTGTTTCGGTCTATGTGTGGTGATGGTCCTGTGAGTGGTGGTGGCTTTAATAAGCACATAGAGAAATGGTTTGAAGAGGCAGGTGTATATGAAGGGGAGAGTGGTCATAGTTTCCAAATCGAGGGAGTTAAGGTGGGAATAGAGGTAGTTGGAGTCTGGGAGAGATGATGCGACAGGGGACTTGGAGTAGTGTTGGAACGTTTATGAGGTATGGTTACATGATTCGACGTGGCTGGAAAAGAAAGGGTGAGGGAAATGTATTAAGTGGAAAAGAAGATTGTTGTGAGGCCGAGGATTGCAGGATTGGGGGTGCTGAAATGGACTCTAGGGTTGGGAAGACAGGAGAAAATATAGATTCGGGGATGGTGAAGTGGTGCTTGATGTTTAGTGATAGTATGCAAGGATATCAGGAAGTGTGTTGCGAAGAGGGGAGTATGAGAAGGTAAGAAGAAGGTCTGGCGAGTGCTTTGGAGAGAGTATGGTGCAATAGTGATGTAGGGGGAAAAATCCATCGATATGGGAAGGATGGCAACATGTTCCAGTCTAGCGAGAGTGCGTTTATTTGAGATGCTTTGGTTGACCAGGTTCTGGAGACGAAAGTCGAGCAGGCGTGGTGATAATCTAATGTGAAAAGGTCAATAGCTGGTGTACCTATTATGGAAAAAATTCAATCTTAATATGACTTGTTAATCCTCAATCGATGTTGTCTTCTGTTTTGGAGATAGAATCGGCGGTTGTATTTAGTGTTTTACCGCAATTAAAAAAAAAAAAAAAAAAAAAAAAAAAAAAAACAAACAAACAAACAAACAAACAAACAAACAAACAAACACACACTAAAACACTAAAGTGCTATTAATTAGTTTGCTAATTCACCCCATCAACCATTCTTTATTACGCGGCCAAAACCACCCAATTGCCCATCGTCTGACAAAACATTTGCAAAACCCCTCTAAAACTATCATTTCACGCAACTCACCCATAGCAGCAAGGACTTCATACATCTTAAACTCTCTTCTGGCTACTGTGCTTACACTCGTTTGTGCTTACACCGAATTTTCCTCTACCACACTACCTCCCTTCCACTCATACTCCTCCCCACCCTCCTAAACCCTTCCCGCAGACTCCTCTTTCCCACTTCCATAATGATGTCCCTATTATTTACCCTTCTCCTTTTTCTTTTCGCAACCTCATTCTTCTTTTGTGCATTTCTTTTCGAAAGGATCATAAACAAATCTTATATCCTCAGTCACTTCGTCTCCTAAAAAAAAAAAAAAAAAAA